AACTGCACATTATACTAGAATTCCCAACCGATACTTCCATACTAGCTCATTTGAATTTCTAAAACAAAAACTAGTAAATAAATCCTCCTATATCCTTGATGGCATGCAAAGTCATATTTAAATTTCATGTCATCAATTTCAATCTTTAACTATAAATCCTGAGAATAACATAATGGTACATAGAAAATATAAGCTGAGCACATTATATGAATTCCAAAAATACTTTCATACCAGTCCGTGTAGTTTGCTAAGTTAGAACTAGCAACTAAAACTTCTACAACTCCCGACAGCATGCAATTTAACATCTAAAGTTCATGAAATCTATAACCACATCCTAAACCAACGTTCCTGGGACTTAAATATGTTATATACATTATTGTCATAAATTCCCAAAAACTAATTTTCATACCAAACTATTTAGTTTGCTAGAACAGAACTAAAGAAAAAATTTAAACCTTCATCCATCCTTGACAGCACACCTATTAATATCCAAAGAAATCATGATGTCCACTTCCAAAGCTTAAACCAATAATTTTAAGTCTTTAATGTGTTTTATACTTCATTTAAAAACCCTCATCAAAGTCCAGAATTTCCTTTTAGCCCTGGAGAAACAAAAATCACAATATTTCACGTACTGGGCAAATACAAAAGGTTGAGGGGGCTCCAATTTAAAGTAGAGGAGGCTCCACTTGGGTAGAGGGGGCTCCAATTTTAAGTAGAGGAGGCTCCACTCTTCTCAGCCTCTGTCTTCCTTCTCCGACGTGATCCAGACCCTCTGTCTTCCATGGTTAATGTTCGTACTGGTTAATTCTAAGTCCTAGTGTGTTCCAGAAACTTTAAAATTCATCATTCATTAACCGACATCAATCAACACAAGAATTAAGCATGAAAGACTTAAAACCAACAATTACCGTTTCAAGAACATATACTGTTTTAATCTATTCTATCATGCAAACCAGATTAATTCTAGTGTTTCCCATTGTGTTCTAGAACTAATTAAGTTCTTTGTCCATCAATTAACATCAATTAAATTATGAATTGCGCAGGAAAGAATTTAAAACAAGCAATAACAGATTTGTAAAGCATACTGTTTAAACATCTCAGACATGCAAACTAGATTAATTTTAATCTTTATTTAATCCTGGAATTGGGTTAGAGATGCAAAGAACACAAGTCAAAAGGAGAGAGTTAGGAATAGAACTTGCCTTTGAGGTTTCAGTTCAAAACCTCAGCGTCGTCTTCCTAAAGTTTCCGGCGATTCCTACTGTTCCCGACTCCTCTGTTGCCCTTGGTTCCAACCACGAACAACACTCCTTCCGTCACATCCTGGTCCGACCTTTAATCCACGGTCGAAGCATTAACCAGTTCTCTCTGTTTTCTCTCAAGTCCCTCTCTGTTTTCCTCACAATTCTCACTGTTACGTCTCTGTGTCTATACGTAAGTAGGGTTTGTGATTTCTAACCCTAAGTCGATGTCTAATGACATATTTATAGGCTTAAGGAAAACCTAATTCCCCTATCTTAAGAAAAGACTAAGTCGGCTAACCATGAAGAAACTAAAACCCTAAAAGCAAAATAATGCAAAAGAAAACAATAAAACAATTAAATCAAATTTCCACGTAACCTATATTTAAGCCAGAAAAATAATTAAAACAAAATACTCAATTAAATAATTAAATAAACAAATACTACAATTAACTCAATTCAATTAAATACCATTAAAACAAATAAACAAGTAGCCAAATAAACACATTAAAATGAAAAAAATTACAATAGAATCATAAAAAAAATTTCCGAGACTATCCTTTTAAAATTAGGGGTATTACATATGATGATAGAATAGTAGAATTTTTTAAAGTGAAGACAACTTTAATCTAGAGATGAGAGAAGTGAAAAGAGATTTGGTAAGTTCAAATTTTTTATCTGGTCACACTCCAAATCCCCTCAAATTCTGTTGATTTTTCTCGGATTTCTCAACATTATGAAATTTCCATTGAAATCTCATGGAATTCCATTTCGTTTAAAATTCCATCTATTCGAAATCCTTTTTGAAATTCAATTCCCATGAAATCCCATTGTTACAAACACAACGTTAATTTCCTTGTTTTATATTGCCCTTGAAAACATACGTGTTATAGGTTTAAAAAAATTGGCAATTACATATTCAAAAATAAAATTTGTAATTACAAGTTAAAAATATTTTTCAAAATATCACCCTCAAATTTATATACATTTTTTCACATTTATAAGGTTCAAATTAGCAAGCAATTACAAATATATTACTGGTAAAAAAAAAAAAAAAAATTGTACTTAAAGAAGGTGAGTTGATTTCAATAGAAAAGTAAGGGTAAACATATCATTTGGATACTTAAGGAAATAATTTAATTAGTCAAACTAAAATAAAATGAAGGTAAATATGTCATTTGAATCGTTAAAGAAACAATTTAGTGGGTCAAACTAAAGTCAAAGGGTAAGAATGCCTTTTTACATGTAAAAAGTGGTCTGACAGAACTGCTAACTAACTTTTAGGGTGTGAGTAAAAAAAGGAACAAATCTTTGTAACATGAGTGATAATTATTTTTTAAATATATTTGAAGGTGATATTTAGCCCGAGCGTCAATAAAATTACCCCTAAAAATAAAAATAGAAACTCCAACCTCCTCCTCCTCCTCCTCCTCTGTTTCAATATGGATGCTCACTCTCGTCATCAAACCCACCTCTCTCTCTTTCCCTCTCTTTACCTCCATTTCTTGCCCCCGAAAATCAATACCCATTCTTCATCACCAAACCAACGATGAACTCCTCAGAGAAATTATTGTTGCATCAATGGCTGCAATTCGATTTGTTGCGACTCCACGGCTCTCGCAAAGTCTTTAATCGTTGCATTCCTATTTATCCAAAAAAAAAAAAAGGAGAAGAAGAAGAAGAGAGTGAAACTGGGTTTGAACCCAACAGTCCCTCCGGCTATATTCAGCGATGCGCGACGTCGGCGAGTAAGGATTTTGATCGATAGCGAAGCAAGGATTCTGATCGGTAGCAATGCAAGACAGAATGACGGGCAAGGACAGCGATGGTGGCGACTATAAAAGTACACCGGTGTCCTAACATGGGTCGATGCTGGAGTGATTCCGGCGGTGGATGACAACTGGAAAGGAAGTGGCTCAGAGGCTCCGACAAGCTACAGAGAAGACCCGTTTTATCAATACCATGAACTCCGATGTGGAGCTCTGAGTTGAGCTATAGAGAAGACGAGTGTAAGTGATACTGAGGGCGACGCGTGAACGTGACGCACCCTTGTTGTTGGTGCGAGTAGATCTGACGCGCCTTTGCTGTTGGTGCGTGTAGATCATAACGTCCATCACTGTAACTCCGGCGGTAGCCTGGGTCTCATATTTTTTGATGGCAGCGACGAGGTTGGTTCATGGCGACGACAAGTTCATGATTAGTGGCTCACGACGATGAAGGCGAGGAACGACGTCAACGAGCAAGGGCGGAACAGTCGGTGAGCTGGCCGCCCAGGCTAACTAGCATAAAGCAGGCGGGTTGCCCCTAGGGCGACAGACCGGCATGACTACAAGCTTGTGATGATGTGCTTGAGCGATGAGCAAAGAAGATAGAGCAACCGATCGGCGATGGGTTTGATGGGGAAGAAGAGTTACAGTTGGTCTTCTCTGGTTCGGGTGGTCAATGGCGAAGAGATGATTGCATCTATGAGAAGCTGACGATGCGTGGCTGCCTGAATTTTGTGGGTGAGTTTGGAAATTGTCTAAAATGTAATTTTAGATTGCATAAATTTTTTAATATTTATTTCATTTTATTGGCAAGAGGATATTATTATTTTTTTATGTAAAAAGTATTTGCACCAAATTGATAATAAAAGAAAGTTTTATATCGCATAAGAATTTTTTTTTACACTATATCGAAATTTTTTTACACTTAATTCTAAAAATAATTAGTAAGAAAGCTTGATATTTTTTATTACTAATAATTTGACAGAAATTGGCAATAATCCAGAATAATGCCAAGATTCGATTAATAAGCACACGTGTTGAACCAAGACTCTCTCTAATCTCTTTGAATCAAAAGATGGAGCACTTTTCTTGTACGGACAGGTGGCACGTGCAAGTAACTGTCCATGGCGGCAAGAAACCAACGTGGCAGATAGACGGTTATTTACCGTTTTGGCCGACTCGAAGCTTTGATTGCGATGTTAAACAAAGAATCTGATACCACTGAAGAAAAAAACAGCATTTTGGGTCATTTGTTTTTGTTATGAAAAGAGGCGAGTCCAAGTATTCTCCATATTTGCACTTATCCACTGTGTTATTGATATTTTATGCATTCATGTCCCTGTTATTTATCCAAAAAAAAAAAATCATATAATCAAAACATAATCACCTATTGGTTAAGTGACATTTATCCATCTTGTGGGGGTGTTTCATAAATGAGAATGTGATTAAAAGAGCTCCGGAATTCATCTATCATTTAGTAAAAAGAAAAAGGCCTACCATTATAATGGTTGTTCAACAAAAGATGAAATTTGTAAATTTTTAAATATTAATAGACAACACAATTAAAAAATGAAAGGATAGAAAAAGAATTGACCAATTTTGATTGATTTGTCGAGCATCAAGCGGTCACTTTTTTTATAAAAAAAAATTATTTACTTATTCGATAATAGCACATACAATTTAAATTATTTTTAAAATTACAAAAATGAGTATTTATTGGGCAGTAAATCACTCGAAATATACTACTTTATGAAATGGGTCTCACCAATTTTTAAAAATTGCTTTCAACTAACTGCTATAATAATTTTTATTGACCGAATACACGGTTTACCCAAATTTGATCTAAAATGTGTTCAAAATAGAGAATATTCAAGATTACATGGGTGCATGAATAATATGCACAAGTCCAAAGTAAAATAAAAAATAAAAAAATAAATTCATTTGTGGCCAACAAATAGAAAAAAGGAATAACGAAATCTAGAAAGAAGTGGAAGAAGGAAAGAACATATACTTTCCTTATCCTCTTCCTTTTCCTTTCCAAAGCTCGTAACCAACAGATATTTTATTAATAAAATAATCAAATCTTAAATCATTAACTATGACAAAAACATTTGTGCATCCCCACCATAACCTCCCAATCAAATTTTCTCTTTCCCTCTCTCTCCCTCTCTAAAAAAACAAGAATGAACGACCCAGCAAGCTCTGTTCATGGACCTGTGTCAATGTCACCAAAGCTGATCATTTAAGAAAACTGAGTATTACTTCTGGGTTTGTTGAGGGAAAAATGGGGTTGTTTCTTGGTCTCTTCTTTGGTATCGCCTTCAGTATTGGGTTAATGACTTGTTTTGCTCAATTACAGAAAAATCGATCTCAACGTCGGTCTCATTTGGTATTTGATTCAATTCTCTTCATACCCATTTAATCAAATTTGTTATTATCATATATATATATATATATATATATATATATATATATATATATATATATATATTAAGCTGTTATTGTCTTCTTATTTGATTTTAGGCAACAACGGTCATATCCTTTTCAAGGATGACAGTTGAGGATTCAAAAAAAATTCTTCCACCTGATTGCTACCCTCCTTGGGTAGTCTTTTTGCAACAACAGAAGTTGAGTTACAACTCTCTCTCTCTATAAATATTTTTATTTTTTTATTTTTTTAATTATTGTCTGATATTTATTATTAATAATTGCAGTTAAATTGGCTTAATGTCCAACTTGAAAAAATCTGGCCTTATGTAAATGAGGTATTTTTTGGTTTCCATAAAGTCTAATGCTTATAATTAGCTGGATTTAATATGGTGACACTAACAATTGTTGTGTATGTGTGTGTGTGTGTGTGTGTGTGTGTTGGTGATGTGGTTGTGTAGGCAGCATCACAGCTAATACGAACTTATGTTGAGCCAATTCTAGAGCAATATAGACCAGTTATAATATCTTCTCTCAAGTTTTCCAAGTTGACACTTGGTACTGTGGCTCCACAATTCACAGGTTAGTTGGATTGGTAATGTTATTTCATTTCATTTCATTTTATTTTAATATGAAGGGATTGAACCCAAATGGCCATTCATGAGACTGTTTAATTTCTGCCTCTAGTTTCAAGAAAATAAAATTTTACCAGAACCATTTTAGTTGCAATTTGGTGTGGTGTTCATGATATGTAAATATGGTATTTTTACATTTTAAATAAAATAATTAAAGGCCACTCATTATGCATTTTATTCCTATGTTTTCAAATATCAATTAACATTTTCTGGGTAAATCCTTGGGAAATCTATGGTAAAAATCATCTAGATCAAGAGGTTCATTCCGGATTGAACATTGATAGATGTTTATATATGTGTGTGTATATATGTACATGTAAATTTAAACAAATTGATCTCATTTGTCAGGCGTTGGTTGGTGCTCATACGAGTTGTTGATGTCTTTTAGGTGTTTCTGTTATCGAAGGCGACACTAGGGGGGTCACCATGGAGTTAGAGTTGCAGTGGGATGGAAACCCTAGTATCACAATTGATGTTAAAACCAAAGTTGGCGTGGTACTACCTATAAAGGCCAGTCTTCAACCTGTTTCTTATCTCAACAGTAATCTTGCTTATTCTTGATAGTAAAATTGATATACAACTATTCTAACACTTTCTTTTGACTCGGAATTGGTAATTTCTGCATATACAGCAGAATTGCATACTGTATTATGTCACTGATTAAGTCTAATTCCTAATTTGAATGCGGATATGCCATACAGATAATTTGATGCTCTCGAGTTCCAGTGGCTAAAATAAGTACAAAAATATTTAATTGTAAATTTCTTAGGCATTCTGAGTTACTCGATTTATTGTATAACTAGATATTCTGAATGATGTATAGGCCAAAATTGTTACTCATTTTGGACTTTGGTCATAGAAACTTAACAAGACCTTTGTGATTGAACTGATGAACACAAATCTGAAACTCAAAACATTTCTTCTTCTATGATCTCTTCTCCAGATGTATACAATAATGTTTGATGTATGTTTGTTACTCTGGTTACTTACGGGGTATCATACTACTATCATATACTCTGCACCGATAAACCTTTTACTGCATTTTGCTTCGCATGTTGTTTTTCTGCTCCAATTTTTCTGTTGTGAATAAAATGTACAGCAGCTGTGGAAAATTCGAGGCCTATGCCTTTTTATCTGAATTGGCCAATCAATATATATACAACTACACTAGACAACATACACGCGATCTCATTTTCATAATCCTTGTATGTAAGGAAGCCTGGAATTTTACTTTGAATTCATTTTAATTATTTGTATAAACAATAAATGTCTTCTGTGAAGTGGACATCAAGTTGGAATGGCTTTGTTCAGAGTCATCAACTACTGGAACTGGTCCTATTCCGTTTATGTATTATTCGTTCTGTTTTTAGACATTTTTGGTTTTCACGTTGCACTCCTCCAATTAGACGCTAATGTATTTCATAGTAGAATTACCTCTATATAGAAGTAAACCTCCTTTACACCCTCGCCTTACCCATAATCAACCTCCTTCAGATGAAGGCGGATTTTAGTTAAGGTCTCCGGTGCATCAACTCACAAGTTTTACGAGTAATCCATCTTGCACCTTCTTATTTTTTCATATGTAGCTCTAGTTTCATTTGCCTCAAGATAGACCAAATTCCCCCGATTGAAATTGATTCTTTAAGTTCCTCCATTTTTGGGAATTTCCTTTTTTTTTAAATGTTATATTCAGTCTCTTTTACTTCTTGAAGGATTTGTAGATGACTGTTAGATAGGCTTTCATGATATATAAATAATTGGGTAGATGATTGTACTAAAAGACATCTTTTATAATATTTTGATTATATATGTTTATCTAGGTCAAAAACATTCAATTCACAGGGGTTTTCAGTTTAATCTTCAAGCCACTAGTTGATGTGTTTCCTTGTTTTGGAGCTGTTTCTTATTCCTTGAAAGAAAAGGTCAGTCATCGTTATTTGTTGTTGTTTTTTGCTTTTAAGGAAAATTTAATAACTTGGGAATAGGTAATTCTTCACAAATGTAATAAAAAAATATACCAATCCACTTTTTTTTTTTTTTTTTTTCTCTCTTGACAAGTGTCCATATGCTTTTGCCTGCAGAAAAATCTGGATTTTCAGCTCAAGGTTGTTGGTAGTGATATATCAACAATTCCAGGAATTTCTGATGCTATAGAGGTTGGAGAAATTTATACTTTGTCTCTCTCTTTTTCTTTTTCTTTTTCTTTTTCCCAAATATCTCCTAAAAATGGTGCATCATATTTGCAAGAAGGGGCTCAAGATGTTATATAACTAAACATTCATGTTACGTTACAGTGATTGGATTTACTCTTTCATACTGAATTTGGTACCGGTTCTTTGGTTCAGTAGACATTTACCCCTCCCCGAAATAGACACATGTTATGATGGTAAATTGGTTCGATGAAACTTTCATTCTCCTTTGTATAGGAAATGATACAAGATGCTATTGAAGATTCTATTACATGGCCAGTTCGGCGAATTATACCCATATTACCAGGGAATTATAGGTAAGCTAAGTGTGGTGTCTTTTTATACTGTCAATTGTCACTCTACTCGAGTTCATGGCTTTAGTTCTGGTATTGGTCTTAGCATTGTTGACCTAAGCAACAACTCGTTATTGAAAGAACTCCTCAATATTTGGCCTGAAAAATTCGAAAACAAGCAGAATGAATAAACTAAGATAGGAAGAGGAAAAATAGATTGAAACACATATTTAAACAATCATTTGGTTAAAGTTGAAGTAATTTTATGCATATTTACTTCAGGAATGGCCCTATATGCACTCCAATGCCTTGGTCCGTCGCACCATTATATCATTTGGTTTAAATATTTTTATTCTCCTAGTTCATTTGGTTTAAGTTGAAGTAATACTAATATGCACACCAATGCATATTATTTTTATTTTTTTATGTGACAACCTTTGACACTAGAGTTCCTTAGGCCTGATCATAGAATGGTCTAATATTCCCTGTATGTACAATGAATTCATTGAAGCGACAAACAAAAAGCCACTTTATCTTTTTAAGTACTTTGATGGTTACACTGAAACATTCAAACTATAAGAAAACTAGTTCCTTTTTTTTCTGGTATGTGATGCAAGTTGGCCTCATTTGTGAATTTGTTGTGTTTTAGTGACCTAGAATTGAAGCCTGTTGGAACATTAGAGGTGAAGCTAGTACAGGCCAAGGACTTATTAAATAAAGACATTATCGGAAAATCTGATCCTTATGCTGTGTTATTTATACGTCCATTGCGTGACAAAATGAAAACGAGCAAAACGATTGTAAGTCAAGTCACCTTATTTCTCAATCAATTTCCTTTTTCTTTCTTTTGGATTGATCAGAACTCTGCATTGTTTGTCTAGAACAACGAACTAAATCCAATCTGGAATGAGCACTTTGAGTTCGTAGTTGAAGATGCATTTTCTCAACACTTGACAGTAAGAGTTTTTGATGATGAAGGGGTTCAAGCTTCTGAACTCGTCGGCTATGCTCAGGTGCTGCTGAAAGACCTTGAGCCTGGTAAGGTGAAGGACATGTGGTTGAAACTGGTCAAGGGTTCAGAGTTCCATATGGATAAAAAATACAGGGGTCAGGTGAGAATGCCAATTCTATCTTCTATTATAATCTCATTCAAATAGATTACAGTATTCGGATTCGATTAGTATTTGACTGCATAGTTTTGTATAGGATCTTAAGTATTAATAAAGATCGGATCTAATTATCTCTATAACTACAGTAAAAGACTCGTTCAGCCAAGCGCAATTGATAAGGTCTTTTGTAAATTGTATGTAAATTTGTGGTAAGCCGTAGTAGAAGGGGGGAAATCACAATGACATGATTGAATTATGAGACCAGAAGTGGTTTATATTAACAATGATTTTCCACATTTCAGAGAGACTTCCACCGAAGAACAAAAATGGATATATCATCACTTACAGCATATTCTGTTTCTGGCCACTGAATTTGGATGGATTTTTTTCATTTTGAGGGTCTGTTTTTTTCCAAGAGAAGAAAACAGGAATAGAAGAGAAAATCTCAATTCGTTAGTCAAAAATTCACAAATGGATTACAAATACAATAGGTTAAACACAAGCATCCTACTCATTGTCCGTTAAACAAATAGGGTAACACACTACCTCAAATTTTATCACTATCTAAGAAGCTTGTGCTTCTACATGCAGGTGCCTTGTCGGTGTTGGATACCTACACTTCATGAACACTCCTAGAAAATGATCTGACACCTCATGGACGGTTCCATATTTCAAAAATAAATTTTATTCTCCATTCCACTTAACCAACATGTAGCACAAAACATCTTCATAGGATGAAGACACTCTGGATTGACCAATATTTCTTTCTTTGTAGAAAAATCATATCATAGATAATGACCATCACAAGACAAACATGCATTGTACTTTTTAAAATATTATATAAAAATATAATTGTGATGGTAAATATAATAGGAGATAGCAGCATATAAAAAATAAAATTCTTGACATATATATATTTTTATCCTTCAAATTATGCAATACTTAGTATAGAAATTAGAAAGTTAATAATGTTCTATAATTGTCTTATATAGTAGACGCATATAAATAAAATTTTAATTTATATATGTCATGTCCAAACCATGTCCTTATCCTCTCATTTTAGGATTTGACATGGCAGCATGTCCATGTCATACCGTGTCCATATCATGTGTGCATGCATGCCACAGAGAGAGAGAGAGAGAGAGAGAGAGAGAGAGAGAGAGAGAGAGAGAGAGAGAGAGAGAGAGAGAGAGAGAGAGAGAGAGAGAGAGGTTCCAACAATTTTATTGCATATACCTATCTTCTGAAGTTTGTGTTATATTATATTTCTTAGTTCATTATGTTAAGTGTAGTTTCATGCTTGATTTACATTTGTTGCATTTTCTAGGTGCACTTGGAGCTTTTATATTGTCCTTTAGGCACAAAGAGTAGGTTTACAAATCCTTTCGACCCTGACTACTCGTTAACTATATTGGAGAAGGTCCTTAAAGCAGGAATGATCGAAAGTAAAGATTATGATATTTTAAAATCTCAAAAACAAATGAGGAGGGATGCCATCTTGAGAGGGGTCCTTTCTTTGACAGTAATGTGTGCCGAAGACTTGCCAGCAGTGGATCTGATGGGAAAGGCCGATCCCTATGTTGTACTTACAATGAAGAAATCCAAACAGAGAAATAGGACTAGGGTAAGATTCTGATTGTCCAATTGTGATAACACTCCAATTGGTTCTTGGAAAGAACGATTTATGGTACAGAAATTACATCCTCTGTTAAGCCATTTGCTTTTCGTTCCATACTTATTTCTGAGAATCAAATGGAGGCTTTAAGTTTTGGACCAAAAGAACATAATTCACCTACTTATAAACATGTTTCTTATAGGACCTTCGAACTCTCCTAGGTGGATACAATCACCTTAAAGGTTGAAACAAGTATACTTAATTATTATAGATAACTATTGCGGTACTCTATACTGAAATTACTGGGACTATGATTTCTGTTCGTTCCCTCATTCTCAGGTTGCAAATCACAGCTTAAATCCAGTTTGGGATCAAACATTTCATTTTGTTGTTGAGGACGCGCTACACGATATGTTAATTTTGGAAGTCTGGGATCATGACATTCTTGGGAAGGTATACTTCTCTTACTAGTCACATCAATTTCTGCCTTTTTTGGTTGGTAATCTGGCCTTTAGTTAGCAATATCTTATGTTAAAAAATATTTGATCAGTTCTTCAGTTTTTAGAATGAAATATATCATATGGTAATCCAATATAGCTGTTTTAGGATTTGCAAATTTATAGTTGGTACTAGTTGTGACTTGTGAATATATTCTTTCCTCCAATATAATATTGTGAAAATGTCACACTCAAAAGCATGAAGTCACTCCACAAAAAAAATTAAATTTGTCATGAGAAATCATGCATATTGTAGGAAACCAAATATTGAATTCTTTACACGTTGGTAAGTGAATGCATTGGCATTTATGTTTACTATTCTTCGAATTTCTTATATATAATTTGACGGCTGTTGAAATGGAAAAATGTGATAAAGATCCAGTAATAGTTAAAAATTCTGAAAAATGGCATATGATTAAAGCAGTCCAGTAATATCCTAACTGGTCACCCAAATTTCCTCCCCTTAAGTAAGGCATCGAGTGTTCAACTTAATTGGTTTAGGATCAATCTTGAATTATACGGTGGTTAAAGGGTAGTAGAACTGTCCGATGATCATTAGAAGAAGAATTATTAATGGGATTATAAAATCAAAATTCTATGTGCATTTGAATACCGAAGAGGTTTGAATGGCCATTGAAGTTCGCTTGGAATTTGGGTGTTAAAAATCCATAATCATGAATAGAAATGCTGAAGAAAATGGAAGCCATTATTATGACTGATGGCATCCAATCATGGTTGAGTTTTCACTTGATTTTTTAGTGATTATCTGTCAACTGGCTGCTGTTTTTTCCACTCGATCTCGCAAGTTGTCTATTGTAATCTTTGTTTTGAGCTTTACAGACTATTATGATACTACTAAATCATTCAGCTAAACTAATTTCAACTAAATATTACAGGATATGATAGGAAAATGCATCATGACACTCACCAGGGTTTTATTAGAAGGGGAGTTCACAGACACATTTGACCTAGATGGAACTGAATCAGGAAAGCTGCATTTGCATCTCAAGTGGACTCCACAGCCGATATTGCGGGATTACTGATTAACTGAAAAAAAAACAAAAAAACAAAACACACCGAAAATCTCCCAAGTTCCGGGTTCTATATCCAAGTCTTCCAGCATATCCTCTTGATGAAGGGCCGAAGAAATTTCATTGGAGCATCAACATGGAACAAAAAGTTGTTGAACTGAGCTCAAGTCTTGCTGTTTTTGTCTATTACAATTAGAGGGCAAATTTAGAGGGAAATCATGAAGATTTGAAATTGTTGAAGCTGGCACAGTGGTACATATATGCTGTTGTAAATAGTGTTGTTTGGAAACATTAAGATTTGGTGTTCAACCTCATTTATTTCTGTTTATAAAAATATTAATACATTTTTTGTGATCATTGTGTTCTTTTAAAACTGAATAAACAAAGTAGGCAGAACTACTTATCAGTATGTTTTGGGGATAAAAATTTTGAACATCAATTGACCATAAGGGTTAAATCGGAAAGATTTCTTTGTTTTGGAAGTGGTAAATTTCTACTGAAATCAACATAGCAGCTAGAGTAATATTGAAAATTGATTTATTACTAGAAAGGTTTGTGTGTGTGTGTGTGTGTAACGACCCACTCCACCACATGGTATGATATTATCCGCTTTGAGCCTGAGCCCGCACGGTTTTGCTCTTGGGCTTCACCCCAAAAGGCCTCATACCAATTGGAGAAGTAGGTCGTTACAAATAGTATCAGAGCAGCTCTCAACAAAATCAGAGGGGTCAATAGCAGCAGACTCAGAGAAACTGGCAGGGTCAGTCTTGGCAGAGAGGTAGACAAGATTGGCGAGCAGGGAAACGGCAGAGAGTTGGTGAAGGTGAGCAATCCACAACTTTAGTACCAGCCACACCTCATGATGCACAGCCATATCAGTTCAGTGGGTCATTACAAATGGTATCAGAGCCTGACCCAGTCGGAAGTGTGCCGACAGGGACGTCGGGCCTCCAAGGGGGGTGGATTGTGATAACCTTGTGGGCAGGTGTGCCGTGGGCGGGTGCGAGAGACACTGTCAAGCTACCACACTGGCGAGCTACGGGTGCAGTAACGACCCGCTCCACCACATGGTATGATATTGTCCGCTTTGGGCCGGAGCACGCACTGTTTTACTTTTGGGTTTCACCCCAAAAGGCCTCATACCATGTGGTGGAGTGGGTCGTTACAGTGTGTGTGTGTTTGTGAGCAGTGGATGGGGTGTGTAAAAAATGTGCCTTGGATTTTCATACTGTTGAACATGTGTTGTTGACTTCTTCAATTTTTTCCAATGTGAATCATATTTGAAAAAAGGGCAAAGTGAGAAAATTTTCATAATGTTTAAATTTTGGGCAAATATCACCCATAAAATTTATTATTATTTTTTTTTTGGTATGCAAGTGCGTGAAAAAATGATCAAAGAAGGGCTTGAGGTCGCTGTTTGGTTACAAATTTAGTCATGTGCATTGCACATGACATTTTTGATATATAAAATTTTAAAAATACCCTTTTCTCTTTTAATAATGCCCTTATATATAAGGACGAGGAAAAATGTACAAAAAGAGGAACACTTTAGTTATTTCACATTTAATTATTTTTTTACCATTTTTATTCAGTTATAGAGAGACACTTTAGTCTTTTCAGCATTCAGACATTTATTTGCTCAAAAATTAAATGTTATGAATTTTTCAAAACCTATAAGGGGTTATACATTCTATATGCATGCCATATGAGTGTTTTTCTCTCGCAACCCTTGAAAAAATGTCGCCGCACTTATTAAATTCCGCTAAAGCAAATAGTCTCACATAACAGCTTAGTAAATTGTGATAAATCCAACTATTTTACTTAACGGAGTGTACTGGTCACAACTGTTGTAACCAATAATTTCTCGTCCTAAAGAACCCTAAATGTTATTGTATCATGTCATAACATTATGCCACTAAATTGTCATATGAAAACCAGGTTTCACACTATTGGTTTAGATGTAAAGGTGCTCTCTGTTGGATAAATTCGTAACTTACGCCTTCTACCACATTATTGTCAGTTGAAACAAAAACAGCCCCAATTTGTTGAAACAATGTCAAAAACTCTCACAAACCGATGCTCATTCATCTTTTTTTGATTAATAGAGTTATTTAGAAAATGTTTGTACTTTGTGGAATAAACAATGGAGGCTGCTGGAGGAGTGTAAATAATTCACTACAGCTAATTTATTTATTTATAGGTGCATTCCACATGAACAATGACACATGATAGAATTTTGTTCCCTCATGTGTCGTGGTCAGAAATACAAAAATTGGTGTAGTTTTATACTCCATATTTATAAAATATTCATTCTCTTGGTTTTTTTTTTGTTAATGGATGATAAAAGGCTTTGAATAGGACAACTGCTTTCCAATAACTAAGGAATAAAAATTAGGAAAATGATTTTTGTACGAATAGTTGTAATGAATTGCTAAATTTACTCTCTTAATTGGTCAATTATGCAACAAAAAAAGAATTGGAACTCCCCACTTAATTGTATTCGGTATAAATAGTCAGGCAATTCACTGTTCGGTGTGATACTCATATTCAAGTAAAGATTCATCTCTTAAGTCTACTCCATCATATAAGCTCCTCGTCTCCTCGTCCCTTCTACTGCCACACACATACGGCGCTGTTTGGAGGGGCTTCTTGATTCCAAAATTCCTTCTAGGAATGAATTTAGAAGATAAAATTGTTTGGAGATGTATTTTTTGAAATTCCTTTCAAAAATTTATATAGTTTTAATTTGACAATTTTATCCTAAATAATTTCCAGAAAGACTACAAATCTATTGTAGTTTAATTGACATACAGCAGGAAAAAAATTAAAAAAAAGGAATTGACATACAAAAGAGATAAAGTGACGAAGTGAAGATAGCAGATAAAAATAATAATAATAATAATAATAATAATAATAATAAAATATAAAAATATAAAAAAATAAAAAAGAAGAAAGATAGCAGATGATGAAGCTTTTGAAGAATTGTGACCTATCAAAAATTCTCAAAGAACTAGTTTAAATAGGAAAAGTATTTTAGTATTGGAATTTGAATTAAAGTAAAAGACTCCTAACAACTCTCTTTTGTTGTTCATAAAATTTGTTACTAGAGCACTAGATCAACAAGTTTTATGAAATAATAGGTGACAAATTTGTCCATAAAATTTGTTACTTAAAATTACGCTGGCTTCCTAGAGATGAATTCCAAAACCTAATTTTTGACACTTTGCTAGAACAAACTTCCTAAGACTTTGAGGTTGGTTAAAATTCATTTTCTTTTATTTCGTCACACACTACCATTTTTTTAGGAACGCCTTATTGGGCTTGGAAACCCGATTCAAGTCCCAGAAAGCTCCCCCAAACCGGCTCACAATTTGTGCTGGTGAGAAAATTTTAGATGAAATATTTTAAAATAGAGTATTTGATTTGATTACTATAAAAGATAATTTTATTTAAATTTGCTCAATTTTCAATTATAAGTACAATTTTTTGTTTTAATTTATATGAAAACCTATATCATTATATTATATTATAATAGGGAAGATTATTGATGGACAATACAAGCATAATACTTATTTATTTTTAAAATATTAGAGGAGTGAAACCAGAGAAAGAGTGAAGACTAGACATCCTACTTTTCATTATTTTTCTTTCATTTGTGCTCATCTTACTTCACATCTACCGTCTTTAATTAATCTTAGTTCTTCCTTTCCTTGGTGTGCATCCCCACAACAAACACGTTCTCTCTTTTAGATGAAAACATAAACAAAAACTATTGCTGAAAAAATCCTTGGCTCAATCTCACTCACCCCGGGAGTATGGTGCTTCCAAATGACACCCTCATCTATTTATAGGCTAACTACCTCTAGAACACTATATAAAAAATTTAAATATTTAACTTTTCAAAACTCTATACTTTTCTAAAATATCTAACATCTAGTCTTTTAAAATCCTCCACCACTCTACAACACTCCACAAAACATAAATACGGAAGCAACCCAACTCTCTCCTCATGCCATGCAGAAGCAAAATCCCCTACTACATTTTTTTTTCGAAAATTGACAAAATTTCCTTATTTTTTGAGCTCACGCCGAATCAGTGTGATTAATGCAGTAAAAATGGAGGTTGAAAATCATTTTCATTTCTTAAAAGTTCCGAGATTTTCTTTTCTTAAGTACATTAAATGTGCAGTGAAAATTGAGATCAGGAACAAACAAATTGAATCTCTAGCGCGATAACTACATATCAATTCACTAGCTCAGCATACACAGATTTTTATTAAAATTGAACGATTTCAAAGAATAAAGAAAATGTATCCAAGAATTTTTGCAACTACATTCTTCTATATACTCCCCAATGAAAACCTGTCGAGCTATAATTTTCTGCCAACAAGATACTATCAGAAAGCTGCAGTGAGACCAGGGGTCGGCCTCATAGGATCTTTTTTAGTCTTCTCCTTCGCAAATTGCTAGCCCTGGATGACAGACCATTATAGTTTTACAAATCAGTAATGAGAAAACAACTTAAAAATCTTCACCTATTAGATGATAAAAAATATATATATTTAAAATATAAAATAGTAAAAAAAACACCTCTCCACTTCCCGTATGTGTTCATAAATCAACCATGTGTTGTGGCAGTAAAAGCAAGATGAAATGAGTTTAGATGCTGCCTATTAAATTTTAAAATAATTACGTAAAACATAACAGTGCGGGGACCATCTGTTCTGTTTTAAAGGAACAAAATTTTCCAGCATAGGCATACAGTATACATTCCTTGTGTAGAGCTCAATTGAACAAGAAACATGAGTTCCTTAATAAGGCCTTTATTATTGACGACATTCTATGTAATTTTGTGCCAAGTTTTATCCTCTTCATGCAAGCAAACTTTACATGCCACAGACTTGAACAATTTATGGGTGAGACAGACATTCCTGAAGACGCATATTGGATGAGTGCGTAAGTTAAAAAATAATATTCATTAGTAAGAGACACGTGATATTTAATTATATGTGTTCTATAAGTATGGAAAAAAGTACAAGAAGAAGAAAATCAAATTAAAGGGTCATATAAATTTAACCATTTATAGAAAGACTATAAGGCTGGCATGAGAATATGAGAGGAGTCCTAAAATTCTACGAATTATATCTTCTCTATAAGATAAGGATGGCACTATATATTTTATAAGTTACAAATTTACATTAGTCATAGAATATGAAATAATATAATCATATGTATATAATTTTTATATAAAACTATATATTCTATTGTTGTGTGCTTAAAGTGTTTGTGTCTTGCTTTTTAAGATTTGTTGTGTTAACATGTTTTTATTATGTGTCTGTGTCCATTGTCCATGTCCATGCATGTTAGAGAAGTTCAATAATCCTATCAGGATAGTTTACAACTTAATCGATACATTCACGAGCTGAAATATACACTATTGTCATAAATTCACCATAAGTAAAATATTCTTATCTAATGAAAAATAATCACTAATTATATTATAAGTAACATGTATGAGGTACAAACAATAAACTTGTGGAATATATGGGTTGGTCAAGTCAACCCACGTCTAAGTGTGGAAAAGATTTTTGAGATTGCAATATCTTGTATCTCTGCAGATATTTGATTTGCAAAGCTCTAGAACTCTTTAAGTTACTTGTCTGCAATTATGCCCTATGTATACGGTATACCCCAAGTATCTCAAAATGATATGATATGAAAGAAGTCAATAAGAGATATGGCCATTTGTCGGCACTGTGCTATAGATGTAGGTTAGTTGGCTACATCACATGTATAGATATGTATTTTTTCTTCCTTCCACATGCTTATACTTCTTAATTTAATTTACATGGTACCAGAGCGTTTGCAGATCCACACATAATTTTTGTCACAAAACCATATTTTATGTATTTCTTATAGCATATTTGTGGTTTTTCAACCATGTTTTATTATTGTGTGTGGATCATTTTTGTTTTTCTTGCAGACAACAATTCATCACATATTAGACAAAGGGGTGCATTGTGACAACGGTTGATTTCAAGACTCTTTTCAAGTTGGGCACTCCAGTTTAAATTTCATTACTCCAACTTAAGGGGGAGTATTAAACACTTGGGTTGAACAAATTGGCTCCAAATCTGCAGGTGAAGACAATATTTTGTATTTCCATAGATATATGACTAGCATCTCTCTAGGATTTACATAGACACTTGGTTTCCCTATCTGTCCGTTAAACATTCATATTTCAGGTTACCTAGCAGAAAAAGTAGGAGAGAAAATAGTTATACCAGTATTGATTGCGAAATACCACAGAATCAGTTGCTACTTTTCTCCCATCATTATTGCGGTTCCAGTGGTAGAATGCATGGGTTCTGTTCATGATCTCCAATGTAGAATGACCATAACTGGCTTCACGAAATGCAGAATACTCTGGTTGTGGGTCATAAAACCTATAGATCAATAACAAGAGTCACAAAGTGTTTCAACCAAAGGATTGTGAATGTGCCCTGAAAATTAAGAGAAGCTCTTGAGAATTTTAGAGTGATTCCCACCTCTTCATGCATAGAAATCAATAAGGAATACTTCAAAGTGTAAGGTTGTCTTACCTTCCAGCAAGGCCTTCCTGATTTCCTCCATCTCCAACAGTTATGTACACAGGAGCTGATTTATCAGGTATAGGATAACGTTCACCACTCGACACATTGTAATGTATATTTGAAATGCGATACTGCAAATCAGAAACGTTACTCTTTATGAGATACGGTTAAAGAAGACAAGCATAATCTGTTATATTTGATGCAGGATAAAAGTATTTCGGATGAGATCATGCATTGCCTCTAAATATATATCTATTTGTAGATAGTTCGTAGTACTTCAGACAAATTGTTGAATATGAGAGGGATGAAATTATTTCCAACTCAATTACACAATGAAATGTAGGGATGGATGTAATTTATGGTTGTCATTGTGGTTGTGGAGCAAGTGAATGGTGAAGTTCCAATACTGGATGGGATTCTTTTTCAGACATAACTCAAATATTTTTCCGAGTTGCATTTTGTTTAGGAAAAATCCTGTTGAAAATACTTGGGATCTAAAGAATAGTTTTCCTTGTATACCAAGGAAACTTCAGGTAGAACTTCAAATGGATATTTAAGCTATTGGTTGAGATGCCTTATAAGAACAAGAATAAGACCTATGAGAGGAGCTGGGTAAGTGAGGGATTCAGCTTCTTTACCTCACATTAGTAGATTAGAGAGAGAGAGAGAGAGAGAATTCATGGAGAGCAGGGAATGTAGGACGCTTTAAGGCTCAGGATATTGGGATTAAAAGAAGTTGGCATAGTTCAGAAGCCCCAACTTCCCAGGCCTAATAGGGGGATTATGCTCTAAAAGTGGTTTAAATTGCATGCAGTGCCCTTATAAACAGGATTCAGAGTGGCTTGCCCCTATACTAAAACACACAAACATGAACTTGTGTACTAATGTCCAATTTAGGTGTTCATAATTTCTGCTTTGTAATTAGCTCTACATAATATACAGTGGATTATCTCTTATCCTTGCAAGTAAGGAAGTATGTTTAACCACGTTAAAATGTGTTTGCGTAATTGTTTATTGCGTGAGGGGGTGAGGCATTGCCGTGACCAACATTTGTTATGACAAACTTCCCCAACAACTTATAATTTATTTGGCTTCATGAATTGTCTGACTTCAGTATTAGAAACATAAGTGAAAATCTGTAAATTTTGCTTTAACTAGGACAGGGAAGTAAATATGTTATGGAAACCAACCCTGTCCCAAACCCGAGTAGGTTATATTTTTAACACCATCCTCTGCCCATAAAACCGAGCTGGCTTTTGTACTCGTCCAAATAGTGTCGGGACAGGTTTCAGGTTAGATCACACAGTTTCACTTAGTCAAATTACAGTCCAAACAAATATGATAAGAAAGGAAAACAAAATCCATACCGATCTTTCGTAGGCATGAACATGGCCAGCAAAGATGAGATCAACTCTGGAACGGACGAACCAGCTTTCAAAAACAGCTCGCATACTTTCACCCTCCATGTAGTGGGCTACATTACTACTATAGATGGGAGCATGCATGAGAACAATTAACCAAGGTGTCTTCTCTCTATCCACTTTTTTTAGTTCTTCTCTCAGCCATTTCCATTGAGGTGTAGATTTCACTGGGAAAAACTTATCATTGATTTTAATTAGTATCACAGAGAGAGAAGTGACACCAGCCATTATTGAGAAAATAAAAACATCAGATCTCAACAAGGAAAAGTTATGGACGATGTAGCTTCTATTTACAAATGTCCAAATTCCTCCTTTATCCAAATTTTCCTTCTTTTTTTTTTTTTTTTTTTTTTTTTTTTTTTTTTTTTTTGGGTACATAGCATAGTAAGCTAAAAATAAAAGAAGAAAAGTGGAATGTAATGACACCAATATGGGTCTTTTCTTCCTATAATAGTATAGATAAGAACTTCAGTTGTTAAGGAATTAATTCAATCAATGTCCATCAGTCCATGTGCAAAACACCTAACTACAGTTTGATTGAAGTATAAGAAAAGGCTTTAATAGATAATAGAAGATTTATATCGTGATGCATGGCAAGCTATGTCATATAGAATTGGGTATAAATATGTTATAAGCATCTGATCTCAAACTCAATAACACTGGAATATAGCTAAATAGCCAATCTTTAGATTTCTTCTGTTATTTTAAAGGAAAAAAGTGCTTTTATGTAACATAAAGTGTTCAACATGAACATGTTACTCGTTTTGAAAAAATAATGTAACAAACGAAGCATCATAGGAAAATTTTATGCACGATTATATCATAATCTTGAATTTTTTTTTCATAGTTGGCACTCACACACACATGCCTCCACTGAGGCTCCTGACCTCCCTTTGGGAAGTAGGAGTTTGGTACCGCTGGGCCACTGGCCCATTGGTTATCATAATCTTGAATTATTGTATACAGTTTTAAGATGCGTATCTGACCAAACATGTTGATCATATAATCTATGCCCACCACCCTAGTGGGCTGTGTCCAACATGGCTACTCCTTTAAAAGTCCATCAAACATTAATGACAAGTGGGTACACGGGAGAAAAATGAGTAATTTTTTTTTTTTTTTTTTGATAATTGAGAAAAATGAGTAAAATAGAGTAAAATAGAAGTATCTACCAGAAAATTGTATAAATAAAAAAAGAGCATGACAAACAAAGGCGCGTGCATTATCCTTTCTTGAATGTCTCTGCATCAATTGCACATGATCAAGAAAATATAATAAATTCAGTCATCTTGTCCTCAAGTTTTGCCTTCTTGAACTTCTGACAGACAGATTAATTTCTAGTCCACTAAGCAATCTCAATTTCTTTCTATCAATCACACTCATTGTACAGAAATAACGTTCTAACCTACCCACTATTTCTACCTTAATTAAATTTTAAGAACCCAACGAAATAGCTGCCAAAATTTTCCATGTCAAAAAACCCTGATAGTCTTGGATTCATTCTTTCCATCCCAGCTATCAGTCATTATGTTACACTAACAACTGAAATTTTATGTTCTTATTTGAGCACAATAGCAAAAATGATCATGTTTTGCATACTGATAGATCACATCTTCCAAATTAGTAGATCTCCTTTACTTTAAAGCTTCGACGCCAAATGAAATTAAAAAGCAAATGGAACTTTTGGATCAACGCCCCTAATCTTCATAATAATGAAAATATTATTAAAAAATAAAAAATTTGGACAGAATCCCACAGACTCAACAACAGACAAGTGACTGACATATTACCATATGGAGAATAACTGGACAGGACAATAATGTGAGCGGAAGCACGTCGGACAGAATACCAAAGAGGATTGCTGCTTCCGGAGGCCAAATGAGGAGTAGCAAACCTATGTAAATATGATTTAAATGGAAACACTTCCCCCTGAAAACATGTAGTCACATATATGTTAACAACCAATGGACCATAAAGTGGATGAAATACCATTATTACCACATATCAAACTTTAGTTATACTGGATGCTGAACACAGATTAGGGAAGACATATGTAACAGATCATAGCAGAAGTAAATTAGTAATCACTGAGAAAGGATGATGCTGAACACAGATTGGGGAAGATATATGTTACAGATCATAGCAGAACTAATCACAAAGAAAGGATGAAACTACAAAAAAAAGATTGAACGTAAATTGCAGTGATGAAAATTAGTATCCAACTGTCTGAAGTATATGAGAAAACTTGAGGGGAGAAAGACAAAGCAAGAACTTGTAGAAATTACCATGTTTGGCATGTACTCAATTTCATGATTTCCAGCAGACCAAATCCATGGCTGATATGCAGCGCTTTGCTCAATAAAGCGACTCCACGAGTCCCATCTAATACCGACATCATTGTATTTATATCTATCAGCATAAGAGAGATCGCCAACGAATAAGACAGTCTGTCCTCCAGTCTGCATGTAATGCTGGAGAGTAGAAAGAGAATTATATGTTTGACCCAAATCACCTAAAATAAATAATAAAAAATCAATTAAAAATGAGTTTTCTTTTTCTAGTTCTGATCATTATCGAAAACATGTGTAATGCACTCATAAATAAACTTCCATATAAAGAAAGAAACCTGGGAATAGCTGATTAGGGAATGGCAAGAAACATGAAAAGGAAGTGAGAAATTAGAAGATTGCAACAAAAAATATGTTTACATAAATGATAAAAGTCCCAGGGTTTTGACTGCACTCAGACTTAGACTTGTGTCCACTTGTTAGCCTAAGCTACGACAATAATCCAAATCCTAAATCCGCTTTGCTCCCTAACTGCAAATGTAGTCCCTATTATCAAGAATTCTGAAATTTTTTGAATCCAGTCACCTCTGCTGGTGCTATTGTTGTAAAGATTCATTCTGGGCATAGACCTTCCTTCAAATATTGACAAATCTTTACTTGAATTGAATCGGGATCATATTCTTTGGTCATTCTGCCTCTGTATTTGAGGTACTACAAAGATGGATCAAAGAACTAGAGGAAGCAAGAAAGGCTCACAAACTTTATGCAAGATTATAGGATAACAAGATACACATATATCAGATCCTTCCATGAAAAAAAATGGAATTTCATTTCTCACCACTTAATCACGATATTCCAACCATATCATTTTCATGTGGTAGGGCCAACCTCTGAACGTAAAGCCCATGAAAGTTAGGAGAGTAATTCCAGGCACTTGCACATGTAAAATAGCCTTATAACAATCACTTCTGGGAAATCATTTTGAGCATTCTGCCAAGAGAAGGAATCTGCACATGTGCTCGCACGTACACACTAGCAAGGAGTTGCTAATTTTTGAAATTCTGGATTTCAATTAAACTTAATTATATGGATAAGTTACATAATATATATACACATATATCAAGTTGCTTATGTTCATATTTTATACATATATGAGCACAGATAGATATAGGCACACACACTTGTGTAAGGACATGATATTTATATTACTGAGATTTTTTTAAGTATTTAGAAAAATGAGTGGTTTTATTTTATTTTTATTTTTTTCATACTAAGTAATTGGTATTGGAAAAAAAAAATAATAATAATAATTTGAGTGGTTTTAAAATAAGAGATTTATTATTTATCCAAAAATAAATACAGGGTTTAGAATAAGGGGCCATCCCTTACTGCAGAGGTAACTGCCAAGCGCAGAAAATGCAAGTTGGAGTTTGATGGCCTGTCATATTCTACAAATAGTACTAGAGATTAGGTTTCCAACATTATGCATAATGATTTTATAGTGAAAATGTGGCTGCTCATACAATCATTCAACTTAATACACCTTGTTAGTAGGGTACTGCCATATATGTATAAACGTTGGACCTAGATCTGAACTTGGGTGAGTTGTTATTCATGTCCATTTTAAGTAGTAACTTCATAACCTGAAGATAAATTTCTTTTTTATCCAATGAAAAAATAATAATAAGATAAAGTTCAGGTAAAATATTCTAGTGCGACCAAATCTAAGGCCCATTAATATTTGTAACAAGTTACTTTATGGTATGCAATACACACACACTGCTGATTTATTTGTGAAAACATAGAACGATAAGACTAATATAACAACAAAATTAGAAGTTTTCTTTCCTAAAAACAACTTCATTCCGATACAAGTTCTCCTTCCAAAATTCAAGTTTCAAACACAATGATGCAACATTTTAACACATCTTAGGTATCAACCCCAATTTCTCTAATGTAGCCTACTTCTGTCTGTTGAAATAAGGCAACAAGAAAAATTAGGGAACCATTCATTATCTCAAGCATGCCAAATATCTCTGTTGAAAGATAAAAAAATTGAAGAGAGAAATTAAACATGAAAAACACAGGTATACAATGTGGTTCGGCCAATATGGCCTACATCCACCGCACACAAAGTCTAAAGGACTACACTTTAATTAAATTTTCTCTTAATATTGTTTACAATGAGCACCTCTATTTATAGGTGAAAGAATACAAGTGATAAATATGAAAAATACATTGATGGAGGATTCCTAAAATCACTCCAATCAATTTCTATAATAGACTAAAATCACTTCTATGATATTCTCCCAACACCACCCCACCCCCACACACCCCCACCCAAAACCCCCCCAAGTTTTGGTACTCGGAGATTTAAAATATAAGTGTTTAACTTGAACTAAATATGAAATTGTCGAGAGTCCAAGATGAGTAGATCGGGAGATCAAATACGAGTTGATCCAGAGATCCGAGATGAGTTGATCCGAAGATCTGAGACGAGTTAATCCGGAGACCCGAGACGAGTTTAGAACAGGGTATGATAAACCTGCTCTGATACCATGTTAACAACCATCTACTCCAAAAGCTTAAGTTGTTAGAGATGGTGTAACTTAAATATATAAATCTTTCAACAATGTCTAAATCTAATTTGTTTACCCAGAGTCTCATTATAGAACATATAGATTGAAAAGTAAAATCAAATATAATAAAGCTAAAAGCTAATATGATAAGCTGCCCCACCTCAAGGTCGTTACTCGTCATCATAATTAAACAATATTCTTTAAAGAAAAATAAAAGGAGAGTGTGCGTGTGAGAGAGAGAGAATAGGTCACATTTTTTAGTAAAAAAGTATGTCATCAGATAAATAGCTGTATCATGATTATATTGGAGAAGAAAGGGGACATTGGCTATGTGGAATTTAATTAGTGTTTGTCAATTCCGAAAAGGGGGGGAAAAAAAAAATAAATAAAGTGAAATTGCTCATCAGAGAGAGAGAGAGGGGGGGGGGGGGGGGGGGGTGTTACTATAATACAACATACAAATGAATAATGTTAATATATTTAATATTTTGTATATAAACATATAAATTTAAAAAGTTACAGAGAAATAGTTCTTATGCATGTGCTTAGGGTGTAAGAAAGCTAGCAAGTACCATGAACATAGGGATTGTTGAGGACAGAGAGAATCCGTAATAGTCACAATCAACAGATGCAGCAATGATATTTCTGACTCAATAACAGATAGAAAGTAAATTTAAAATATCTAGGAAAATTGGAGCTCCTCTCAGCATATATTTAGCTCTCAGTGAAAGTTATGTGGCTATTCACTAGCACCACGCCCATGCAATGGCAATGCATCATACATCAGTAGCCATAATAAAACTGTCTTGAATTGGTAATACCCATAGTCCTATAGAAGCCATAGATCAATATATTAACGTAGAGCCAACTATAAGGGTGTGATAACGTTAAAAAACTGATGACACATGATCAATGAGGAAAGTTTATGCGGCAGAATTGCAAAGGAACATGGTCACTAGTAATTGTATGTCACAGCTAATACGGCGGACGTCCACAGACAAACTGGAACGCCAATGGTATAAGGAGGCAAATAAGGACAAGGAATGAAATTCCTTTCCTGTGGCATGGAAAGCTTCTTCCCCGTATGGAACACAAATGAGGCCCACTTGCCAGGGATCAGAAGCAGTACCGAGAGTGATCCTCAATGGAAGTGTCCAGGACCATGAAGGTGGACTGATGGGAACCATAATGGGATCTCTTCTTGTAGAATAGCACAGGACTCTGCAATGCTCATCCTGTGGAATATAGCTTGACGAAGCATTTGGCTGTTACTTTCACAGTGGGTAATTCATCCATCATTACTCCTTGGATGTGTCCACATAGGATCAACTCCACAAGGTCTTGTCACAATAAAGAGCCATATGTGATCCTCAGATCCAGCGAGGCATGTTATGGTCCGGCTCACAGTAGCAGAGAGTGTCATGTTACAGGGTGAGAAGGTCATGATGTATATTGAGAAACAACATGCCACTAAAAATCACCTTCAGATAATTCCTTTTTCCGTATATCAAACCGAGTCACTATGACTGTAACGTTGATGGATTTGGATGTCACTGCCAGAAAATCCATCTATGTGGCTCCTCAATAAATAAGGAGGGGACAACAGAAGGACGGACTGAATCTGGCAAAAGTCTAAAGCGCTCAGTAGGAGATAGTGTACTGTTTCTCTCTTGTGCTTCTTCCCTAATCTCCTCACAATCTTGACCTCCTCAAGGTCTCATCTCATTATAAGTTGTGAAATACTCTCTTCTTCCTCCCCTACACTTCAGCAACCCAGAGTGAGAAAGGATTCCCACCTAGGCAGAATTGCTGGTATAAAAAGCTAAGAGAAAGGACCGCGCACCCGCTCGCGCGCACACACAGAAATTGCACAAAAAACTAAATGATTTTCTCAGGCCTTTGGTAGCTTTTACTAGAAGGAAAGGGGAGGTGAGTGGATATCATCAATTTCTAAAAGCCCAAGTTTCTTTGTTTCAATTTTTCCTCTTCTTCATCCAAAAGAAATGGCTTTTCTTCCAACCATAGATTTTTTCATTTACATTTTCTAGTTTCCTATAAGAAAACTCAAATGGTCAAAAGAAAATCTCTCCTGAAACAAAGCACAAAAAATTATTTTCCTGAAACAAAGCACAACCAACCATTCAGGCATTGACACAGCTCAATATCTCAACTATTCAATGAAAAGCAATTTAAACTAGTCTTTTAAGAAATAATGAGGAAGGAATGTCTCACCAATAATACCAAATATATAGGTAGCATCTGGGTCAATTTTTGGAGGTGTCTGAAACCAAAACTCACGTGAAGAGTCACCCGTCCCAATCTTGTAATAGTACTTGGTGTCATACTAGAAATACAAATTAATGTACCATCAGTTAATGAAAATATATAAACAACAATTAAAAAGTTTTAAATGTAAAGAAGAATTTAGAATAGCAAAATCTAATATATGGTAATATTTCCAAAGTTAACATAAATATGAATACTTCAACAAAATCAGACCATATATAACTGGTGGTGACACTGTTTTCAATGGTGGTTATAACTGTTATAAAGGCATCTAAGGAACCAATGAAAGAGATGAAGCCCTCCACATAAGCACACAATTACCTATCATACTATAAAAGTAATACAACCACATTTTATATTCATAAGGTTATAAAATCCTGTCTACTCTCTATTAAATCAATAATGCTATGTCACATTTTCCAAGCCATACTTTTCTATATTAGATATAATGGAATGAAATTAGATACTTATTTTGTCACTGAAATGAACATTAATGATATTTTGTTCACCTAACAAGGACTGGATTTTCTGCATATATTTTTTTTTTATTTCTTCAAAATATGTCGAAAATCAAAGTATATGATACAATATACACTATGACACAATACACAGACCATACCAAAATCAATACTCTGACATGATAAGCAACAAAACAACTATGCATAAATGCATGAAAATAAACCAGTGCCTTAACCGATCTCCCAAATTTGTAGCAAGTGCTATCATTGTTGATGGCCTAGAATTGGTGCAGAACACTAGCACGTGTATCTCTTTCAAGAAACAGGATATCGTATCTAGAAAATAAAAAATGACACTAGCAGGAACTAGACCCCAACCCCTGTGGATTCCTTCATCACACCATAAAAAAGACAGTGATATTGAACCAAAACATATGCAAACACAAACGAATGCTATTTCACATTTAAATAAAAATAGGAATATAGCTAATTAAAAACTATAAGTTCGTACACTCAACATCAGCCTTTTATCACTTGTATAGCATAGCGAGATTTACTGGCGTTGGTAAGTATTAACCTGTCCCAACTCCAAAGTAGGGCTGTTGCTTGTTGCAGTAATAAAAAACTTGAGCTGTCAAGCGTGAAAACGCGTGTTTGAGCTTAAGAGTACCAATTTGTGCAAGTAAAACCAAAAGTTAGGTTTGCATCTAGGTTAATGCTATCGAATCCCGCTTTGGCAAGACTACTGCTTGCAACTTGAAAATGGCCTTCTTTTAACTAAGTATAAATACTTGGTAATAAGGCACAATTAAGGTTGAGATAGTTTACTGTGTCTTGTTTCATCATAGAAGTTACTATAATCCCTACATATTTGGAACAAAAATTGTAAAGAGAATTGGGAGTGACAACCGTTAACGAACAAAAATTATAGAGATTAGATTTGGTACTCAGAAAAGAAAAAAAAAAAAAAAAAAAAAAAAAAAAAAAAAAAAAAAAAAAGGAAAACTATTGCAACATCTCCTCTGATGGCCCCATGTGTATCAGTGACAGTTAATCCTCCGTTCTTATAATTAAGTAGACTCAGCAGCATGATTCTGGAACCGCTTCGTGATGTTATAGAATGATTTTATGGCTGGGAGACCTTACCTATACATTATTTCTTTCTTTCTTTTTTTCCATCAAACATATTCTTTGAAAATGAATGTATTAATAAGCACGCTATATTCACAGTTTATAGCTTTCATAAAGGTAAACTAACCAAGTAATCACATAGTTACTCGATATGTACAATATGATAACTTCCATCTCCAATGATCTCTAGTATATTTCTTGATGCTTGTGAAGGTCTATCTACCACATATGCATGTGTGCGCACCATACATAGTGTATTGTAGGTGAGGGACTGTGGATATAGGTGTATACAATGTATGCTTATGCATAAGCAAGCTTACTTATGCATGTCATCATCAACTGACCTGAAGCATACCTCCTGAGGCAAGTAACTACCGCTTGTCCATCTCATGCCAAAACTAATCTTGGTCCAGGCCTCATAGCCAATAATACAGTCCTCTTAGCCAAATCCATGTACCAGCACTTAGTTATGAAAATCACCCAACAATCCATTATGAGTCACAGACAAATGTGCCTGGATATTGCATGCAAAGCCAAGAAATTTTACGCCCTGAGAGTTAATCAAGGGCGGCCACCTTGTGCAATCTGGCCTATAGTCCCCCTTGAGCATGCAGATAGAAAGAAGGCCATAATCCCTTTAGCATGTAGACACTAGTTACTCATAGAAATAGACATACAAAGATATGAACACATGCATGTTCACAAATATATGTATGAATGTATGTTAGTTAATTCATATTACTCTAGGAAATCAACACTGAAATTAGTGACAAGCACACATACATTAGATGAACACAGAAATGAGAAAGCTCTTTCAGACTACAGTAATTTAGAAAATATTTGACATGAGAATCAATTGGTTCAATAATATCTACCTGAAGACCATCAACAAGGCAATGATGTATATAGCCAGATTTGTATTTGTAAAAGGTGTAGTTTGTCATTGTGCCATCAGCACTAAAATCATATTTCTTCTGTGATGTGCCATATTGTACTTTGCTGGACCCTGGTTCATCAGTTGTAACCCAAGATATTATGACAGCCTTCCCATCATAGTCACCTTGGATAATATGCACCTGCAGGGGAAATTCAAGGAGTAAAATTAATTCGCAAGAAAAGTGTTTAACATAGATCCAATATCCCCACAGGAAAACACAACATAAATTTTAAATAGATAATAGATTGAGCACAACATTATTTGACTCAAAATCTACCAAACTATGAGATAAGCATCTTCAAAATGAAAAATTATCAGTAAAGCAATTTTATTCTTGTACCAACTAACCCACTCTTCCTTGAGGTCATTATACAAAGAAAGAATTATCAAAATTCAAAAATTCACCGAACGAAAGTTCCATCGCTATTTGGCTTTAATAACAACAATAAAAGGATTTAGTGAAAAGTGTTCAAGCCACCAAATGCCACCACTATTTAAACATAATTCACCAAATTGTAATACATAGAACAAATCCCTTCAGGTCTTAGTTCTTCAGAGGTTTTCTAACTTTTCTCACCCTTCAGTTCACATTTTAAGAAATTTCTCATAAGTTTTTGTTGGAGTTCACCATAATGTCTGGAAATTATTTTGCTGTAGCACCTTTTAATGTGCTCTATTTTTCAGCTTCTTGCTTCCTGTTTCCATTCCAGTCATTTTCGATTCCCATTTCCAACTAAAGGCCACTTCCCCCACAAAAATTACTAAACAAATAAAATTTACTGGACACGCCTTCAATATAGCAGTAGGCAGGTGTTACTTCTGAGCAACAAATGCTAACTAGCAACATAAAATGTGTTTTTGCATCAAATTAGGTCTACAAACAATAAACCACACAGACATGACATTTTTTTAAAATCCCCAAGTATAACAAAAAATGAAAGTTGAGAACAATGAATTAATAAAAATAATGCACAATCCAAAATCTTAACCTACATAAGCTTATATTTACCAACTCATTAACACTCTTTTTTTGGGAATGGAATTTAGAGAGCTTGGAATGATGGACTCATTCATAAAAATAAAAATAAAAACTTTACGTTTTAAAGTCATATGTCTAGATCTATTTGTTTCACTGAAGAGTGATGCTAGTCAAGCCAAAAAACATAAACTAACTGACCAACACGAAGAATATGACTAAAAGATTTATCCACGCAGGTCCACATGATGTCATCTCATATGTCTATATTGGTCATTTTCCTTTCGCATCGTTTAGTTGGCTTAGTTTTCCTGTTTGAGAAGTATTTTTCGTCCATAAATATCATATATTAAGGCTTGGAACCACAAATTTGAAAACATGAATGCTTACTTGCTGAGGTGCATTATAACCTTTTGGAACTTTGAAAACTTCATTGTCAAGTGGGACATCAATGGACGGCCATTCAGAACGAATAAAAGTACTTGTGATCCTTGCACTCCCATGTTCCACAGAGCTCGAGGCAACAAATAATATATATAAGAACCGAAACGAAGTTAAGCGCTGCGCATATGCCCACAGCATTATTGTATGTAGTTCAGCCTGAAGACGACAGAGTTCAGTTAATCCACGAAGGAATACCAATGAACCAAATGAAATCAGAAACTAGCAGTACAACAAATATTAGTGCACCCATAACAATAACATTAGTGATAATAATCGCACTGAGAGAAGGAGGAGGCCAAAACAATGTGGATTTCATTGTGCAACCAAAAAAAAAAAACACTTTGGAGTTGGAAGTCTTGGGACTCAATTGGCGTCTTATCTCGAAACCTTTGGGGATTCTGAGATGGGTCCACTCAATTTTATTAATTCCAGACAGTGGTGAAATAGATTCAATAATCTAACTCTAGGCAATCAAGAATCAACCCGACCACACTCCATACTGATTTAATAGCACTGGAATTCACATAAAACTGATAATTTAACTCACTTGTCAATTTGTTTTTATATTATTTTTTCTTTGGCAATTTCTTGATTAACACAACCTCAGTCAATCTGCTCCATCTAGTTTCAACTCTCAATATCCGGGCTAATTAAACCAAACCATTAACACTTAGATCCTTCTTAACTCCCTCTAATTAATGGGGAAAAAAAAAAAAAAATTAACAATTTGAAAACAAGACAGGTGGTTTAAACATTTTCCCAAATATTAAAATCGACAAAATAGGGCAAGTAGACAATTAACCCACTTAGCAACAAAAATTTGCTTCAAAAAAATGCAAACAAGTTAAAATTGCATGCTCTCTATCAATCTTCAACTAAAACTGATGGATATTTTTGTGGCTTTGAATATTCATTTCTAAATTTTCCTATCTCTACACTTACACAATTTAACAAATATATATTTGTTATATATATTCGCCGTTAAATTAGGCGGAGACACTCCTTAAACTTCATAACATAAAATATATGTACTTTTTTTTATTATTTATTGTTATGTTTATCTGTGGAGAGAGAGAGAGAGTGGTACCTGAAGCTTTGTTGAGAGAGAGAGAGAGAGGGGGTTGGAAGGGCCTTTTGATCGGTGACGGAATTTAAATGAGGAATGGGAAGCGTAAAGTAGCAGCAGCGGATAAAAACATTGAAGTTATGGTGGCGTAAGGTAGCAGAAACAGAAACTACTTACCAACTGAACAACGGGTGAAGTGCACACCCCAGGGTAGAAATTGACGCGTTCAAAAAAAATAAAAAATGGATCTTACTCGTTCAAATAGACTTAGAGAGTATAATTCATATGAAACCCATTTTCTCTATATCCCTTGCTCTTACGGCGTCGTTTGGATACACAGGAGGGAAAAAAAAAGTAAACAGGAGGAAAAAAAAAGTAAAGGATTATGAGAGAAAAGAAAAGAAAAGAAAGGAAAGGATTATGAGAGGAAATGATAGCTATAATGTTTGGATTAATAGGAAAGAAAAGGAAGGAATTGATAATATTATTGTTTGGATAAAACAAAGAATAGAAAACAAAGGAATTGACAATAATAAAATTATCATCTTACCCTTTCTTTTTAGGGTTAGAGGGCAAAATCAAATCAGCCTCCTCCATCTTTCCATTCTCGTTCTCACTCCCCCTCACTGTCTCTCTCTCTCTCTCTCTCCTACTGCAAACTACAGAATCTACAAAAATATATTAATGTCAAAACCCATATCGACTCTCTCTCTCTCTCTCTCTCCAACTGCCAACTACAAAATCTACCAAAATTAGAAGATCAAAACCATATTTCCATAATTGTTGATTTCACTATTGTTGATTTGGGCATCATCTTCTTCGATTACTGGCAGACAAGGCTATAGATTCATCTTCCTCCTCCGCGGCAACTGAGAAGCCTGTTAGCGAAGAACCCGAAACTTACCACATTCGAACCCTAGCTTTCGTCATCGGCAGGTTTTAATCTCTCTCTATATATGGGTTTTATTTTATTTTATTTTATTTTTCTAAAATCAACTAATCAAGGTCTGTAATCAACTTCCAGCGACTTTTCCGACGATCTCTGCAACTTCCGGCGACTTTTCCGATGATCTCTGCAACTTCTGACGACTTTTCCGGATGGGCTCCAAACGTCATTTGCTCCCTTTTTCTCCAAATCCCTCCAAATCTTGTCAATATTGGAGGGATTTGGTTTTACTGTTTTGGAGAGATTTGGAGGAATAGGTTATCCCTCCAAATCCTTCCCAATCCTTTCTTTCTATCCAAAACCCTCCATCTAAACACACCTATCCCTATCCTTCCCGTTCTTTTATCTCCAAAACCCTCTAAATCCCTCAATCCAAACGAGGCCTAAGGGTGTTCAAAAAATCTGATAAATCAAAAAATCGGACTATAAAGTTAGGATGGGTTCTCTCTCACGAGAGTTCTCAGTTTGGCTGAGTTCTTGTGATATCAGAGTTCTGTTTTCTTTTCCGTTCTTGATTTTTTTGTCCCCGTTGTGGCTTAGGCATGATGATTGTTAAGGGATATTCGCGGTTCCATTTTCGCTTAGGTCAGGAGGTTTTCTTTCTGTGGTCATGGTGGTGTGTCCTCCCTGTGCTGCTTCTCTGGTCTCCTTTTTTTTTCTTTTGTCTTCTTCTGTTGTCCTCCATGTGCTGCTTCTCTAGTCTCCTTTCTTTTTCTTTTGTCTTCTTCTGTTCTTTGTTTGGTTGAAAAATAACTTGGTAAAATTGGCGTACTCAATTTGAGAGCCTGACTATCATTATATACAAGAGGAAAATTACAAATATGGAAAAGAGAATAAAATCAAATAAGAATAAAGAGAATAAAATTCCTAAACATTAGCTTATAATGAAGACCCAATAAATCTGTCACAATCATTGAGTCAACTTATAGATATGATTTCCAACACTCCCCCTCAAGCTGGAGCAAATATGTTAACCAAGCTCAGCTTGACTGTAGAAGACTGGAGAAAAGAAGGCCCAACAGTCTTTGTGAACACATCTGCAGTCTGTTCTGAAGAGGGAACAAAAATAGGATTAATGATACCTGATCGAACCTTCTCTCTAATAAAGTGAATGTCTACCTCGATATGTTTCGACCTTTCATGTAAATAGAATCGGAAGCAAGTATAATAGCTGATTTATTGTCACAAAACAGCTTGAAGAACCTTTCTCTACAAGACCTAACTCTCCTAAAATTGATTGGAGCCAAAGGAACTCACAAGGTATTTAGCTTCAACAGAGGATCTGGAGACAACAGCTTGCTTCTTACTTTTCCATGATATGAGATAATTACCATAGAAAGTACAGAAGCCAGAGGTAGAACGTCTATCTGTCTTATAGCCATCATAGTCTGCATCAGTAAAGCATGAGAGTCCAGACTGATTTCCTGAGGCATAAAACAGACCAAGACCAGGGCACGACTTAAGATACCTCAAAATATGATAGACTGCATCCATATGAGCTGAGCGATGGGCATGCATGAATTGACTAATCACACTAACAGCAAATGTCAAATCGAGCCTTGTGTTAGTCAAGTAGATAAGACAACCTACTAAACGTTGATACATGAATGGATCTGGAAGTAATTCTCCTGACTCAACAGAGAGTTTGAAATTGGGGTCTATAGGAGTGGAAGCGAGTCGACACCCAAGCATGCCAGTATCTTGAAGAAGATCCAAAACATATTTCTTTTGAGATAAAAAAAATTTCACAACAGGATCTAGCAACCTCAATTCCAAGAAAATATCGAAGGGGACCTAAGTCCTTCACATCAAAGGACTTTTGAAGATGAAGTTTCGCCTGAGCAATCCCTGAAGTATCATCACCTATGATAATGATATCATCCACATATATCAATAACATAATGCAACGACCATCATAGCGACGTCGAATAAAGCAAGTATGGTCTGAGTGGTAGCGCATAAAGCCCATGGATAGAACAACATCGCTGAAACGACTAAACCAAGCTCTAGAAGATTGCTTCAAACCATAAAGAGACTTCCGCAGCCTACAGACTTTCCCAGTATACTCCCCCTCAGCTCGAAAATCCAGGGGGTGGATCCATATATATAGTCTCAAGTAAGTCTCCATTAAGAAATGTATTCTTAACATCTAACTGATACAGAGGTCAAGAATGGGCAGCAGACAAGGAGATAAGTAGTCGCACAGGCATCAACTTTGCCACAAGAGCAAAGGTAGCACCAAAGTCTTTGCCTGGAATCTGAGTAAAGCCTTTTGCCACCAACCGAGCCTTATACCGATCAATAGAACCATCGGCTAAGTACTTCACATTAAAAACCCATTTGTAGCTAACCGTTTTCTCCCCAGCAGGTAAAACAACAAGTTCTCATGTATTATTATGTTGTAAAACATCTATTTCTATTGTCATAGTAGACGCCCAATTGGGATCCCGGAGGGCCTCTGACACTGATCAAGGAATAGAAACGGTCATAATCTTACTCAAGAAGGATTTATATGTACCTAAAAGACCATCATAGGAGACATACTGGGAAATAGGGTGGTTAGTACTACTAGAGAAACCATACCAATTAGGAGGGTGACGATCATGGGTAGGATAACGGGAGTAGTAGGAGCCATAGGAGAAGGAGAGTTACCTGGACCTGGTTCTGAAGATGATTCTGGCAGGGGAGGTTGAGTGCAATGGCGACAAAAGTAAACATAATTAGTACTATAAAAAGGAACAGTTTCATGAAATGTCACATCAAGAGAATGATACATATGTTTGGCCATATGATCATAACAACGATAGCCATTTAACATAGCAGAATACCCCAAGAAAATACACCTAATAGATTTATCATCAAGTTTATGACGAAAAGGACTGCAGTTATGAACAAAACAAGTACAGCCAAAAACAAGAGGCAGAAGGTGAAACAATGTATAATCTGGCTGGAGAATCTAAAGTGGGGCCTTACCACCCAAAACTCTACCAAGAGTACGATTAATTAGAAAAGCAGCTGTAAAAACAACCTTGTGCCAATAGAATTTAGGCACATGTATACCACTCAAAAGACATCGGACCACAGACATAAGATGATGATTTTTGCATTCAGCCACGCCATTTTGCTCAGAAGTGTAGGGGCAAGTGAGTTGATGTAAAATCCCCTTTTTATTAAGTTCAGTCCAGATCTCATTCGAAACATATTCACGTCCATTATCAAAACGAATATTACGGACAACAGTATTATACTGGGTTTTGATCATTTGAAGAAACTGAGTAAATAAAAGAAACACATCAGATTTCTTTTTCAATAAATAAATCCAAGTACAACGAGAATAATTATCAATAAATGTCACATAATATTGATGTCAAGATAAAGCAATAACTGGGGAAGGGCCTCAGACATCAGAATGAATAAGATCAAACATACTCGGGGCACGACTCATATGAGAAATATAGCTAGTTCTAGTATGTTTAGAAAGCTCACAAATTTCACATTAAAACTTATGGTCCTTACATGCTTTATTTAACGAATGAAATAATAGACATAGATACTGAAAGTTTACATGTCCCAAACATGCATGCCACAGACTAAAAGTGCGAAAAGAAACATCATAAACACTAGAAGTAGGTAAGACAGAAGCTTGAAGACTCATTCCTGGTGGTTCCCCAAAGTAGTAAAGCCTATCACACTCATGACCCCTGCTAAAAATCCTCTTCGCACAAAGGTCCTGCAACAAACAGTGATCTGGTAAAAATATAACTGCACATTGGAGGTTTTTTGCAAGCCGGCTAACAGATAAAAGGTTAAATGCAAATTCAGGTATGTTAAGGATAGATGAAATAGTAATATCAGGAGACAGACAAACATCACCCTTATTATGAATATAAGATGTAGAGCCATCTGCAAGATACACAGATTGGGTAATAGGTATGACATTGGAAGAAAAAACTGATAACTCACCAATCATGTGATCATTGGCCCCAGAATCCAAAACCCAAGTGGGCTGCTTGGCCTTAACATGAAATGCAGTAGGAGTACTTATAGCAATAGTGGCAGTGGGAGCAGCTGAAGGAGCACCAACTCTAGAAGCAAGGGAGCCAAGCTGGTCCTTGAACTACCCAATCTGAGACTGAAGCTGGCTCAGTCCAAGAAATACAGTGATCCACCAGTAGTAATAGAAGTTTCTACAATAGCTGCAATACGAGAACAACCAGTTCCAAATAAACGGTTCTTAGAAAATTTTTGTTTCCGTTCAGGATGAAGTTTGAAGCAACAAGCCTTAACATG